AAGGGCGATAAAGTGAGACTCTATCTCTATTAAAAACACATTTCACCAAAGAGAATATTGAGATGGCAAATAAGCCCATGAAAAGATGTTCCATATCATATGTCATCAGGGAAGTGAAAATTAAAATAATAATGAGCTACCAGTGCACACATAATAGAATGGCCAAAGCAGGAACATCGATGACACCAGGGGATGTAGAGCAGCAAGAACTCACTTCATTGCTGGTAAGAATGCAAAGTGGGACAGCCACTTGGAAGACAGTTTGCAGTTTCTTACAAAATTAATTACAGTTTTAGCATAGGATCTAGTAATCTTGCTCTTTGGTATTTATTCAGATATCTTGAAAACATATGTTTACACAAAAACGGGCACACAGATGTCTGCAATAGCTTTTATGCAATGACCCAAACTTGGATGCAACCAAAATGTCCCTCAGTAGGTGACTGGATAAATTGTGATATATCCAGACAATGGAATATTATTCACTGCTAAAAAGAAATGAGCAACTAAGCTATGAAAAGACATGGAGGGAAAGGCAGGGTGCGGCGGCTCATCAGACAGCACGTGGCCTTCTCAGACTGGCTGCTTTCACTTAGTAGTTTTGTGTTCATAGTAGTATGAGGAGTATGAGGTTCCTATGATCTATGATGCCAGGACACTACTGAGGGCAACAAAGTGAGACTCTGCCTCAAAAGAAAAACAAAACAAACAAACAAAACAAAACAAAACAGAGGCAACAAACTAACAAACGAACGAACACAAAACTACTAAGTGAAAGAAGCCGATCTGAAAAGGCCTCATGCTATCTGACTCCAACCAGACGACATTCTGGAAAAGACAAAACCAGGGAGACAGTGAAAAAGTCAATGAGTCCTAGGGGGAGGGAAAAGGAAAGGATGAGTAGACAGAGCACAGAGGGTTTCCAGGGCAGTGAAACTATCCCATATGAGACTGCAGTAGTAGGGACCCCCTCACTGTGAACTTGTGCAAACCCGTGGAATGTACAAGGCCAAGAATGACCCCTGCTGTGAACTATGAGATTTTGGTGATGACCTGCCAGTGCAGCTCATCAATGGTACCAAATGCTCCACAGTGGTGTGGAGTGTTAATAGGGGAGGCCGTGGGTGTGTGGGGACAGAAAATACATGAGAACTTTCTGTGCTTTCTGTTCAATTTTGCTGTGAACCTAAAACTATGCTAAAAACAGCCTATTTAAAAGTGAAGTAAATAACAAAAACATTGTCAAGTTTGTAAAACAAAGAACAACAAAAGCCACACTAAGCGAGACAGTGTGATATGACATAGGATAGATATATAGATGAATGGAATAGAATTTAAAGTTCAGAAATGAACCCTCGCATCAATGGTGAATTAACTTCTGATAAGGGTACCAACCCTACTCACTGGACCCCTCCACCTTACACCATATACATACAATTGTTAACTCAAGTGGACATCAGTGTCCCTTCTTAGGTAAAGCACTGAGACAGGCATGACATCACTTCTGTGACATGCCTGCCAAAAATGAATCACCAATTACGTAAAAATATCACACAAAACCAAACTGAAGGGGGCCGGAGCCTGTGGCTGAGTGAGTAGGACACCGGTCCCATATACAGAGGGTGGCAAGTTCAAACCTGGCCCCAGCCAAACTGCAACAAAAAATAGCTGGATGTTGTGGGGGGTGCCTGCAGTCCCAGCTACTCAGGAGGCTGAGGGAAGAGAATCACCTAAGCCCAAGAGCTGGAGGTTACTGTGAGCTGTGATGGCACAGCACTCTACTGAGGGCGACAAAGTGAGACTCTGTCTCTAAAACAAACAAACAAACAAAACCAAATTGAAGGCTGTTCTGCAAAACAGTGGACTGGTGTTCTTCAATGCTGTCAAGATCACAAAAGAGGACAGACTGAGGAACTGTGGGATTTTCCTTGATCGCAACTAAATGCAATGTGGGATCCTGGATCAGAAAAGAGGCTCTACTACGGGATAATTGTTAAAATGTAAGTAAGGTCTGTAGATTAGTTAACGTATGTTAATTTTAACAATTGCACTGTTATCTGAACACTTCAGATCTGTGATCTGAACACTTGAGGAAGTTGGGTGAAAGATATACACACACTTTTTTGTGCTAATTCATCAATTTGTTGGGACATGGTCTCACTCTGTCGCCCTAGATAAAGTGCAGTGGTGTCATCATAGCTCACAGTAACCTTAAACTCTCGGGCTTCAGCAAATTCTCTTGCCTCAGCCTCCCATGTAGCTGGGACTACAGGCATCCACCACAATGCCTGGCTGCATTATATGAGGTTTTAACATTGGAGGAAGCTGGGTATATGGTGAGTGTGTACTGGTTTTGCAACTTTTTTGTAAGTCTAAAATAACTTCAAAATAAAATGTTTTTTTTTGTTTTTTTTGTTTTTTTTTTTTTTTCCAAGCTCAGGGTCTGAGCTGTGCACTGACTGTGCATGCATTGTTCAGAAGTTCTGACCTCTTTTCTGTGTGATGGCTCTTCTGGCCCTTCCACCTTTCAGAGGTCCTTTGTGAGCTGAGGGTCCAGCGGCTCTGCAGGGGGCACCTGCAGAGGCTCAGTGAAGAGCTTTCACTTCCTGATTTTTGGTGACTCCAAGATTGGACAGGAGGATGAAGGCTGGATGGCTTGAGCCTGGAGGGCCTTCGCTGGCTTTTCTGTTCACTGGAGCTGGCTCAAGCCCAAACAGGCCTTGAGAAGCTGAGTTAAGTTCAGGGGGAGGGAGGTGGGGACTCAGGGACCTGGGGAGGCTATAGGGACCAAGACCCATGCCCCTGCCTTGGACATCTGCCCAGGGACTTCCTCAGAAGCTGCTGAGTCCTTAGCTTCCTGTTGCCAGGGCCTAGAGGATGAACTTGGACAGGAGGATGTCCAGGCCTCAGAGGAAATGAGAACTCAGCAGAGAGGAGGGCCTGGACTTGTGCAAAAATACATGGACACATGGCCCATGGACCAGCTCGATGCACTCAAATACAGAGAAACACACATGGGTGTGTAAGAATGAACTGATGGGTATACAGGGCACACAGACACCCATGTGCACATTGGCACCAATGTCAACATCAGTGCCAGGTAGCAGCCTGTGGCCCACCCTTCAGGCAGGCCTGGCAGGGAGAACAGAACAGGGGCCTTACTCAAGGCTGGTTTCTGGGAAGAAGATAACTCCATGGGCAAGGACAGGCAGGAGGATGTGAATGGCTTTGCTCCCTGGCACTGTGTCTGCCTCCTGGCTTCTAGGAGGTATTCACCACTTCAGATCTTAGGCTAAAGTGGAGGCCAAGCATGGGCACCACTCTTGTCCAGAAGAAGCTTGCAGATCTCCTGATGGGAGCATTTGGTTTCCTGGGGATAGTGGCAAGATGATGAGAGAGGGGAAGGAGTTGGGGGAGTCTAGCATGTACCACACCCTAAGGCTGGAACCCAGGCTTGGGCAGCAAAGAGGGTGGCTGGGTGGCAAGGACCTTGGACCTATCTCTGCCCTCCTCAGCATTGGCCTGCATGTAGCCTCACCTGGCTATTGCCTGTGCATGTCTGTCAGTCTGGCCTCTGCCACCACTAACCAAAACCCACCTCTGACCACCACTGACCAAACCAGCCAGAAGAAGAAGTGGCTGTCTCACAAACCAGGAAGGCTGAGCTGCCCAGAGGAGCATTCAGGCCAGGGAGCCCAGGACTCCAAGACATGAGTCCTCAGCTGCCTCTCTCCTCACCTTGAAGACTGGCCCTGTGTGGCTCAACCCTCCTAGGGTGGCCAGTGGCCAGCAGCCCTCATGGTTTCCCTTCCCACACTGAGTCTCATAGTTTCCAGAACTATATCTCACTGTTTTGAGTCAGCCTTGGCTCACTTGTCAATCCTGCAGGCTTAGGAGGGGCAGGAGTCAGCTCTGTCCAGACCACAGGCCTGAGTGTAGGGAGGGTTGGGGAGTATTACCCTAAACCAAGAGGGATGCCAGGCAGGCACAAATGGCCGGTGACGTTCCAGTGTCAGAGGCTGGTTAAACTAGAGACAGGTTCAGCTATCCCAAATGGGCTGACCCACTCTGCCAGCTGGGGGGCCTTGGGACAAGTGCTGTAGCCAATGCCCAAGGGCAGGATGGGACTTGTGCCTGGAACCTGTGTGAATGTAAGCCTGGTGGGCATCAGGTTTCTTAGAAAGAGCAAAAATTGGAAGGGCCCAGTGTGGCTGGGGAGTGACTCCATTCTGAGGCCATGGGAGGGTTTGGGAAGTGGAGGGTATGGTCAGAATTGCAAGTTAAAGAACAGCCCTGATTGGGGGCAGGAATATAGGTATGTCTGTGCACAGTGGTGGGTGGGAGACGTAGGGCTAGGGCCTGGAACTGGCCCCGGGATGAAGAAGGGATCTGAAGAGTCATCTGGGACCTGCTAAAGGTGCAGAGCCTGGGAAACAATGGGCCATGTTGCAGCTGGACGCACGCAGGGTGGACAACTTGGACTCTGCTAGCATAGGGCTAGGCATGGAAGGGGCAAAGACAATTGGGAGGAAGTGGCCAGGCTGTCTCCAGCTGGCTGCTCTCCCATGCCTAGGTTTAGTTTCCGCCCTGCCAGCCAGGCCAGTTCCTTAGCTGTGTGTGGGCATGATCACACCCTCATGCACCCCCCCTCCCCCTGACAGAGATGGAGACAGGGCGGAGAGAGTGCTGGGGCCACTCTTCCTCTCCTGGGCCGGCCATTCTTCCTCTCTGGGGCTGACTTCTGAGCAGCAAGAGATAAGAGCTCTCCAGCTAGCCAGCTCCAGCCACCACATCCACCAGCACCCAGCACCATGAAGGACGATGTGGCTCTTCTGGCCACGATCACTCTTTTGGGAGTCCTGTTGCAAGGTGAGCTGGCTCCTGTCTGGGAGGTGGGTGGGCTTCAGACCCTTTACCCTGCCTCCCCCTAACCCAGTCCTTGGGGAATTGCTGACCAGCGCAGGCCCAGGCAGAGGGCAGCGGTGGAGCCTCTAGCCCATCCTCCAGTGCCAAGGCCCATGCCCATTGAGCTTGGCCAGCATGAAGCCTGGAGGGTAGGGCTTTCAGGGATCCAAGGGGGCATCCAGCCATCCAAGCTATAGGACTGGGGAGGCAGGAAGTGCCAGGATGAATGGTCAGCTATGGGCTTCAGCTGTCCCCACTCTGGGTGTCCCAGCAAGCATCCCCCATCCTTGTCACCCTCCATACTGGGACAATGTGGAGTTGGGCAGGGTTGGTATCAGCTCTCTTAGTGACCCCAAAAGGTGCCAGCTTGATGCCTTTCCCAGACTGGCCCTAGAGGACATATTCTTGGATCACATATCTCTGCTACTTGGGGACACCAATGTCCCACAGTGAATGGACTAGGATAAGGCACAGCCAGGGTAGGGCTTTGTAGAGGCAGAACAGACAGGTCAACATGATCTTGAGCTGCACAGCACTGTGCTGACATGGCCACTCCTTGGCACTTGCAATGGGATGTGTTTGTAGAGGGCCTGCCACCAAAGGCACCAGGACCACATGCAGGGAGATAGGTGATCACCTAGCATGGAGTTGTGTGTGTGGCCCAGGGTCAAGAGAAGGGCCCTTGCTTGCAGAGAACCTTCAAGCCTTACCCTCTGCACCTACGCATGTTGAAATGGAGGGTGGTAAAACCCTAGGAGGGTGGAAAATCCCAGATGCAACCATCTGGGAGCAGGAGAGAGACTGTTAGATTTAGGCCTGGGTCCAGAAACCTGAACAGAGAAACTGAGGAAAGACCCCCCCCCCAATGCCACAGTTTGAAGGTACATGAATCCAAGCTCGAGAGATTTTGTTCTGAGACAGGGTCAGGAAGTCCCTTTTGGTGGGCTCTGCAAGGGGCTGAATAAGGACTGTTAACCACTGGGTATGTGTTTCCTTGCGTCTTGAGAGATGCAGCCAGTTTTGTCTTCAGGCCTTGCTGGCACTTCCTGGCCAAAGACTTCAAAGCTCAGGCCTATGCCTAGAGAGCAGGAGCTGGGCATTTGCCTGTGTTTTGCAAGTCAAATGATTCAGGAGCAAAGTTTCACTTGGCCTTTCCGCAGCAATTATCACTCTCCCACACACACTCACAGGGTGGGCCAGGCCTTTCTGCACCCCTAGCCTCAGAAGGGAGGCCTCCACATCCTCTGTGCCCACAGGCTTCGAGGCAACCAGACCTGACCCCCCCTCCGTCTGCAGCCTACTTCTCCCTGCAGGTGATCTCGGCGCGCAGGGCCTTCCGGGTGTCGCCACCGCTCACCACAGGCCCACTTGAGTTCCAGCGCGTCTACCGAGCCCAGTGAGGCGCGGCGAAATTGCACGTGGCGGGGAGCGATCGGGTCAGGGTCCAAGGACCGCCCGGTAGACGTGCTCATCTCCCCCCGCCTCACCTCAGGGTGAACTGCAGCGAGTACTTCCCGTTGTTCCTCGCCACGCTCTGGGTCGCCGGCATCTTTTTTCACGAAGGTCTGGGTGCGAGGCAGGGGCGTACGCCCGGGAGCCCCCCGAGGCCTGGTGCCGGCGTGCTCACCCCGTACCTCTTACAGGGGCGGCGGCCCTGTGCGGCCTGGTCTACCTGTTCGCGCGCCTCCGCTACTTCCAGGGCTACGCGCGCTCGGCGCAGCTCAGGTGAGAGCCTGGCGGGCTTCCAGGATGTGAAGCGGGCCGGGAGGCGACTGGGGCCGCTGTCGGGGAGCCGGTGGGCGGGCCTAGTTTCGTGGGGGGCGGGGGGCAGTGGGTGGGTCCTGGCCGAGCCCGGTCGCCGCCCGCCCGCTGACCGCCGCCCGCAGGCTGGGACCGCTGTACGCGAGCGCGCGCGCGCTCTGGCTGCTGATGGCGCTGGCGGGGCTCGGCCTGCTAGTCCACTTCCTCCCCGCCTCGCTCCTGCGACAGCTTCGGACGCTGCTGCCGATGGCCTGAGTAGAAGGCCGCCGAGTCGGTGGAGCTGGGGAAGAAGAGCTGCAACCTCCAGGAGCACCGGGAGGGCGGCTCGCTTCCGCATCCTGGTCTCTAAATAAAGTTGCCTTGATGGGTCCCTGGCTGCATTCAGTGGGCTGGAGGAGGGGGGCGTGCACTGAGGGTGGTGGAGCCTGAAGAGGCCGCGAAGGCAACCGCAGCCTCCGGGACGAGGCTTCATCTGGTCTCCCGTCCGACACTCAGCCTCTGGGGTCACACTTCTACCCTGCCCGAGGGACTGCTACTGTTTAGGAAGCCTCTTTCCTGCCTGGGCCATATTGCCATTTAGAGAAGCTTTGGTAGGGTCTCTCCGTGGCTCCTCCCCGCTCTTAGTGCTCTCCGGACCTGTGCCCATCCTCTCCGGCCTTCCCCTCCACTTAACCTCAGACGCTGAACCCTTCGGCCTCTCTCCAGGTGAAGGCAGGGGCCTTTTTTGTCTGCACTGGTCTCCAGTGTCGGAAACAGCACAGGCGTTCAGGGTAGCCTTCTGAGGCTGCAGAGCAAGCACAATAGTGAACATAGTGATAGGGGCCCCGGAGAATATGGCCAGGTGCCTTGAGGGACCAGACACTGCGAAGACCCTACCAAAGCGTCTCTAACGAAGTGACTTTTAGGCTGGGCACAGTGGCTCACACCTGTAATTCTAGCACTCAGGGAGGCCGAGGTGGATTGCCTGAGCTCACAGGTTGGAGACCAGCCTGAGGCAGAGCCAGACCTAGTCTCTAAAAATAGAGACCTTGCAGAAGGCACCTATAGTCCCAGCTACTTGGGAGGCTGAGGCAAGAGAATTGCTGAAGCCCAAGAGTTTGAGGTTGCTGTGAACTATAACCCTAGGGTACTCTACCAAGGGCAACAAAGTGAGACTGTGTCTCAAAAAAAAAAAAAAGTGACTTTTAGGTTGGGCACCTATAATCCTAGCACTTTGGGAGGCCTAGGAGGATTGCTTCAGGTCAAGAATTCAAGAACAGCCTGAGAAAGAACAAGACCTCTCTCTATAAAACATTAAAAAATTAGCCAGGCATGTAGCACATGCCTGTAGTCCTAGCTACTGCGGAGGCTGAGGCAGGAGGATCACTTGAGCCAAGGACGTTGAAGTTGCAGTGAGCTATGATGATGTCACTCTACTCCAGCCCAGGCCATAGAGTGATGCTATCTCAGTGTAAAGAAGTGACTTTCAACTAAGGCTTCCAAGGAAAAAACAGCTTTCTAAGCAGGGGCAAAAGTGTGTGCCAAGGCCTAAGGTGGGCAGGAGACTCTAAATGTGTCAGAGACCCTGGGAAGAAAGGAGCAGAGTCTTGGGGACCCTGCTAGAACTGAGACCCATGAAGGAGGGGAACCAAGAGGTTGGGCAATGCCTTCAGCTTGAGGGGCCAAGTGTGGGCCTTGTCCCTGGCAACTGGAACCAGATGGAGTCAGATGCTGGGAGCATCCACCAGACATGGAAGAGAAGGCAGTGGGGGTTCTCATCAGAGCAAGGGTAGCTTCAGGTGCCTGGACACAGATTCTGGGATCAGACTCTTCTGTGAAATGGAGGTGACGTCAGTAGAGATGCCTGTTGGGAGTCCTGGGACAAGCCCCCAGAAGTTACAGCTGGTGCAGGTGGGGTGGCCTAGTGCTGGGTTTAGCAGGCACTGGGGCTAGGCTGAGCACAGGCCAGACACCTGAAGTAAAGCACAGATGCAGAGGTAGAGTTGTCTGGAGGACTGAGTGTGAGGCACACACTTCATTAATCCTTTATTACAAGTCACGCTCTTATAGAAGTGTATGTGGACTTACGTGAAAAAATCAAATGTATCCAAGAATAAAAAACACAGCACATAAAGTAGTATATGCATTCCAGTGTTCGCGCCGGGGACAGTGGGCGCCCAAGAAAAAGCTCTTCTAAAACGGCCTGGCAGGAGCCAGCCGGGTAGGAACAGTTCTGGGCGGCGCGGGCCGGCCCTCAGGCACAGTGTGGGGGCCGCCTGCCTTCCCGCGGCCCGGCGGGCTGGGCAGCACCAGCTCCTGGGGCCTCCGGGCCAGCGGGACCCCAGGCCGCCGGAGCCGGCTCCAGGCACAATCCTGCGGCCGGGACGGCGAGCCTGGCCCTCCAGGGGCAGCAGCAACGACATCCCTGGAAACGTGGGCTTCAGGCCAGTCACAGCGCACACTCAGAAGCCCTCCCTTAGTCGGCCTTTTTCAGGAAGATCTAGAAGAGCCAGACTCAAGGTCAGCCAAGGCCTGAGAGGTCTGCTAGAGTTTTGGGGGTTGTTCCCCGTGTGTGCCCCGCCCCGCCCCACCTCACCTCACTCAGAATGACCCACACAGGAGAGTCCGTCTGGATGGAGAGGCGCAGGGCTTCCAGGGGGCCAAAAGCTGGGTCCACCTCGCCCTCTGCCACACCCTTGTAGAAGGAGCCTGGGGGAAGGCAGTGCTGGGAGGGTGTCCGCCAAACACCAGCCTAAACAGGGACTGCCTGCTCAGCCCAGCACAAGCTCTCCCCCACCCCTACTCACCGATCTGGAGGTAGCCATCTGAGCTCCGTGGGTACCGGAGAGTGGCTGAGCGGCCCTCCTGCAGGGCCTCCTTGTCCGACTGGGGGTTCTAGGGACAAAAGGGGCTGAAGCAGGTGGCCATGGGAGGGCCAGGTCTCCATTACACCCTCAGTCTTCCACACTCACATCAAAGGGCAGCACCTCCACAGAAGTGTTGAAGAGCTTATCCTCTGGATGCTCAATGTTCCCACTGCGGAAGAAGAACCTACCACCAGGCAGGCCTGTGAGCTGCTGCAGGCACCCCAGGCATTGTCCAGGCCTCATAGGGGCAAGGCCAGGCCTGGACTAGATCCACACATGGTAAGCCCTAGGGCAGCTGTCAGGTTGTGCAAGACAACCAGAGCTTTCCTCTGGGACAATGGTGACAGGTAACACCCCTGAGCTCCTTGGCTACTGTCTCACTTGTTACTTACAAGGTAGCTATCCATACAAGCCCATTTTCAGATAGGGAAACTGAGGCATGGTAAGGTTAAGTAATTTTCTAGAGATCTAGGCTAAAGGCCTAGAAATCTGTGGTAAGGACTGTATCCTGGTGGCTACCTAGCCCCCTTCCCAAACGAGGACCTCTGGTGCTGTCACTGACCGCTCCAGGCGCAGCGGCTGGAAGAAGCGGAAGCGGATGAAGTCCCCCGCGGCGGGGGTGAAGGCCCAGAAGAAGTCCTCACGCAGGTAGGCTTTCTCCAGGGTGAAGTGCTGGTATGTCTTGAGGCTCGTGCTCACCTCTGCCGGTGGGTTCACATGCTCCTTCCGCAGCGCCTGCTTCCCAAAGTCCTTGTCCTGCATCGTTGGAGGGAAAGCGGTGCTGGCATGGGCCCCATCCCTCACCCTGCCCTAGCCCGCTCTGCCTCTGGTGAACATGGGGCCCAGACCACCTTCAGTTTCTGGATCTTGCCGGCCAGCGAGGAGTGAGTGCCCACGTGCTGGAAAAGGGACGGCTTGAAGCGGATCCGCAAGTTGGCCTTCTGTCTGTCACAGTGCTTCTGCAGATGGAGGGTGACACCCCAGGGCTCAACTTACCCAAAGACAACCAGGGCCCTCCCATACCCTGTGGGCACCATCTCCTTGTATCAGATGCTAGAAACAGTCCATGCTAGAGGCTGCTTCCCTCCACCCTATCCTGTGGCCTCAGCTTCCCCTCTGAGCGGGCCTGCTCACCGCATCCTTCTCAGGGTTGCAGACTTTCACCCACAGAATGTGGTCCAGGAGCCAGTCGATGGGCTTGTCCCGGTAGAACATAAGGATGAATTCCACAATCAGGCTCAGGTCCAGTGACTTGAACATCTTCCCTGGGGCAGGGACACGGACAAGGTGCTTAGTGGCTGCCCTGTACTGCCCTACTTCTTCTTAAATCCCTGTGGGGGCTATTGGGGTGGTCCCACTCCCACACACCAAACTCTGGGTGGGCTTCAGACAGGAGTGGGCAGAAGGGGACAGGCAGGGACAGGGAAGCTAGACAGCCTTCATGCAGAGGGCAGATGGGAACAAGACTGGCTGGGCCCAATCTGGGCAAAGGTTGTCACAGCATGACGAAGCATAGCACTGGGGCTGGGAGGATAGCAGAGGCACAGGAGTCACACTGAAGGGTGTGGTCAGGTCAAGGGCACACCAATGAAGCCCAGCTGGGAGAACTCCAGAATCATCCAGTCTTCCGAAGGCTGCTGGAGTGCAAAGTTCTTCATGGTGCTTAGGTAGTGGGGCTTGGCCACGATGTCATCCTCTAGCTGCATGGGCAGGCAGAGGGGAGCAGGACTCAGGATGGACGTGGGAACATGGAAGGGCTTGTCACCTAGATCAGACCAGAGCCAGGGCACACCAGGTGTGGTACAAGACAGGGCTCAGTGTGAGCCCAGCCAGGGACAGGGCTGACCTGCACGTAGTAGATGCCCTTGGACTGCGCGTACATCATGAGGAAGCAGTAATCAAGGTTCTGTTTGGTCCTCCACCTGCGGGCCAGGGGCAGGGGCCTCAGTAGCTCAGACCCTCCACCCTTAGTGTAGCTATTACAGAGAAGCCACTGACCCAGCAGGCCTGTTCTCCCACCCCCATGCAGGGGACCTCCCAGGAAGAATCAGGAGCATTATGGGTAAGTGCCCTAGACTCAGATGCCAACACATGCATGGGTTCTCATTGCAGGTGGGCAGCTTCTTGGGAGGTGTGGGGGAGTGCTAATACCTGACTCTCTCCTTGGGATCCCCAAAGGATTCACGGAGGCGGGAGAAGTCAGGGTAGAAGTGGGGGGAAGGGGAGATGACCTCTAGGAGTCCAGAATGGATCTCTGTGGGGAACCTGAGGGACAGGAAGGCCCAGTGGGTATGCAGCCTCTAGGGGCTGATGAGGACAGTGAGCCAACCAGACCCTTTCCTTTTATTGAGGCTCACCAGGCAGATACTCCCACACTCCACCCTTAGCCTACTGAGGCAGTGGACTCCTGAGGGGCTGGGCCACCTCTATAGTCTCACCCCTTTTCAGCCACGAAGGGAAGTTCCCTCTCCCACAGAGATAAGGCACTAGTTTGTAGGAGAAGCAGCACCT